AAAGTCAGAATTCTGACTTTTTTTCCCATACTAAACTGAAATAAAATTAAAAAATCAGATAACTCTTTTTTTTTTCAGTGGCCCTAATCTTCTTCCGTATGATACTGAAGTAATCGTGCTGCGTAATTTGTTCTTATGAGTTGATTTCTCTGGTTATATCTTTGTGAATATGGTTGTATAAAATCTATAAATGTTTACAGATTAAACGCTGTTAAAGATCTAGATTCTGAACTTTAAAATCCGTCTTTAGTTCCTCCTCAGTGCTGTTCGGCGCGCCTCAACCTCGCCGTCCTCATGTTCTTTGGATTTTCCGTGGTCTACGGTCTCCGTGTCAACCTCAGCGTCGCCATGGTAGCCATGGTGAACAGCACGGACCTGGCAGGAGACAGGAACGCCACGGCGAGCCCGGCGTGCCCGCTGCCGTCGGGCGGAGACAACGCCAGCAGAGCTCTGCAGCAGCCGGACGGGGTAAACTGTGGCCGCCGGGGAAGACGAGCGGACGCACCTCAGTGCTCCCGCCCCCTCTGATGGCCTCTGTCTGTGTCCCCTCAGACCCCCCAGTATTCCTGGGACTCGCAGACTCAGGGCTGGCTGCTGGGCTCCTTCTTCTTCGGGTACCTGTGCACTCAGATCCCGGGGGGTTACCTGGCCGGCCACTACGGGGGGAAGATCTTCCTCGGTCTGGGTGTCTTCGGCACGGCGCTCCTCACCCTCCTCACCCCATTGGCTGCTGGCTTGGGGTCACACTGGCTGTTTGCTCTGCGGGCCTTGGAGGGCTTCGGAGAAGTTGGTTTTCATTTATTGGATGTAAAAACCTGGAAAACCTGATCAAAGGTTCCAGGAGTCCCGCCCGCTCCTGGATCAGGGATCTAAGTTGTTGTTTTTCTCCAGGGTGTGACGTTCCCGGCCATGATGGCCATGTGGGCCCGGTGGGCTCCTCCCCTGGAGCGCTCCCGCCTGATGACCCTCCCCGGAGCCGGGGCCAGCTTCGGCTCCGTCGTGGCCCTGCCGCTCACTGGATACATCTGTGAAAAACTGGGCTGGCCCGCCGTCTTCTACCTCTGTGGTCGGTGGCAGAAACTTCCCCCCCATTCAGCCTCATTTTTGTTTTTGTTTTTTTAAAGCTCCTCTTCTGCCTCTTCAGGAGGCGCCGGATGCCTGTGGTTCGTGTTCTGGTGGGCTCTGGTGTCCGACGACCCCCGAACTCACCGTCGAATCAGCCCAGAGGAGAGAGATTACATCGTCAGCTCTATCGGAGCGCAGGTGAAGCATTAATTCAGTTCACTTTATTTCTATAGCGCCAATTCACAACACACGTCATCTCAAGGCACTTTACAGTTTAATCTAAGGAAAAGGCAAGGCAATCCCCCACACTGAGCATGCTTTTAGCGACAGTGGAGAGGAAAAACTCCCTTTGAACAGGAAGAAACCTCCAGCA